AAAAAAGTAGGAAAGAGGGTAGTAGCTTTTCCCACTTCATTTGGCAGTAAGAAGGCATTTTCTGTTATAAAAGTCTCTTTGCTTAACACCTCTCTAATAGTTAATTTTCCATGCAGCAAAACTCACAGTGGCCATTTAATTAGTACTAGTTGTTATTAATTGCCCAAAACCATCAAACTCAGGAAGAAAATTTAAGTCTATTGATGCCTATCTGACAGTCATTCTCACTAAAACAGTATTATGTTATTAAACTAAATTAATGCAGTTACAAACCTCAAAACAAACTAGGATGCAGGTTCATCCATCATTTCACCATGAAAGTGAGATATAAGTAGACAAAGTGTAGAAAATATTGCCATGTGCTTCTGAGTGGTTATGCCTACAGGAAACAACCAAAAAGTTGAAGACCAAAAGTTGCAACCAAAAAAATGTAAGGGTAATGTGGCCCAAATCCCTGAAAATTAGGGAAATTAAACATTCTAAAATTGTTATACACATTCATGCAATATCCGCTTAAAGATAATATGGTCAGATTCAGCCAACTGCATACACACAGAGTGAGAGAAAGTTGTAGAAACTAAAAATACAATATCAAATCCTAAAAGGAGAGTATTTTCATCAGAATTCTTTCTGCATCTGTAGTGTACAGTGTTCTATAGAAATGACATATCAGCAAAATCAATCTCTTAACATGTGAAACATATACCTAGCAAAAAATGTTTGTTATCCTTCTTCCACACATAAGGAAGAGAGAAGATACATTAAATGCTGGAGAATGTATCTGGCTCCAGATAAAGTGATGGTTGTCACTTCACAGCCACAACGGTACTGCCTTCAGCAGGCCTTATTGGAGAAAATCATGCAGCTCCAGGCTTTCAAAGTAAAAAAAGGCCTTCAATTTTCTCAGCTTAGGAGTTTAAGTGATATGTTCTTTAGTAAGGCTATTTATACATGATACATTCAGTGACTGCTGGTTTGTGGTGAAGAATATTTCCAAACATATCAAAGTAGGAAAAATGCCGTAAAGTTGATGCATCTATTAAACCAAAGCCTTCTATATTTGTAAGGACTTTATCCTTTACTGGATTCAGAGATAAGTTTCATGAGCTTTTTTGAAGTAGTCACTTAAAATAATTTTATAAAATTCTTGATAATGTCATCCTGTCTGTATTTGAAGTAATGATTGATAAACGATTATTGGCGGAGGGCGGGTGCCTTGGATTTTATTTGTTCGTTTATTTGCTTGTTTGTTTTCGACGCAGGGGCATTTAAAGAGTTTCAGGATCCTTTGAAGAATGTTAAACTTCTATACAATTGTGTGCATGTTGTAAGTTCTAGTCAGTATTCATTGCTATCTGTTTCTATATATCACCAGGCTTTAAGAACTGCAGTTCATTCATTTTTGGTTCTATTTGCAATGATCAGTACAGTAATGGGAAAAGCAGAGAAAATGTGAATTTCCTCTAGCTGAATTCTCTTTCAATGGACGTGACTATATAGCATCTTGAGATCCCTCAAAACTGTYTTTCAGTATTAAACAGAAAAATCAGCTAAAAGGATGCTGGTGCTCCCCCATCTCCCTCATGCTTTGAAGAAATCAAGAAAGGTGTGATACTTAAGTCTCCAGGATTTTTCTCCTGAATTTCAATGCTGTATTTGTTCTTGCATTATTTATTGATTACTTCATGTGAAAAGAAACAAAAATCAGCATTTCAAAGTTTATATTTTAGCTTTTATTTTTAGTTTAAATATTTGGTTTTATTTTTTGCCATATGTATTATGCTTTTCAGACTAAAGGGSCAATTAGAACAAAGTGTTATGTGATTTGTATAGGGATAATACTGTAATTAAAGGCAAAAGATTATCCTAATCAAGTATACTGAGAACAAATCCCCTATATGACCAGCACAGACTTACTGGCTGACATCTGTAAACTCTGCGTATTCTTTTTCTGTTTCATTTCAGTCACATGCTTCAAAGGGGACTTTGATAAAACTAGCTTCCTGTTAAACTCAGTAAAGTGGGAGTAGGRATGGTGGTGCACTGCAAATCTCTGTCCCTCGTACTGGACTGTGTGACCACCTGTGACACTTTGAAGGCGTTGGACCAGACAGAGTCCCTGAGGAAGTAAGCAGCCATCCTCATCACATGCTGCAGGGGAGTACTGCTTGGAGACCAGTAATGGAGTCAGTGGAGAGGGTGGTTGGAGCTATCAGTTGCAGAGCAGATGATGGTGATGAGCTGCCTCATAGCATCATGGAGCATGAACAGGAGATTGGCAGGTTTTTCACAGATACAGAGTGGTCAAGACTGCACCTGTTCACCCAGGTTGCTTTGTATGATGAAATGAATGACTCTGTAGATGGAGAGCAGTGGATGTCACCACTTTCCTTGACTTTTTCAAGACTTTATGCAGTCTCCTGTAGCATCTTGTAGCCAAATTGGAGAGAATGGACTAGAGAGTGGACTACGTGTTGGATGAAATCTGGCTAGACTGTTCAGTTCAGAAGGGAGTGGCTGATGGTTCAGAGTTTATCTTGTGACTCTTTACAAGTATTATTCCTCATGTGTCTGTAGTGGGTCCAGTAATGCATAACATCTTCATTGTTAATTTGCTCAACTGGAAAGAGTACATCCCCATTGAGTCCACTGCTTGGCATCAAATTAAGAGGAATGGTAGAAATGCTTGAGGGTAAAACTGCCATCAAGACAAACCTCAAAAAGGTACCGAATGAGCCAACAGGAYTCTGCTGAAGTTCAGCAAAGACAAGTGCAAAGTCAGAATAAGCCCATAGAATCATACTGGCTAGGGAACAGCTCTGCAGAATGTTTTGRGGATCCTAATGGACAGCACATTGAACATCCATCAGCTGTAAGCACTCTCAGTAATAAGACTAACAGAAATGGAGCTACATTGGTAATAAAATGGTCTGCAGGTTAAAGAAAGGGTTTATTCTTCGCTGCATTTGTGAGGCCGCTCTCAAGTGCATGCATCTGGAATACTGGGTCCAGTTTTGATCCTCTTGTGGGAAGTAGATTTGTAATGTAAACCTATTAGCCAGCAAGTGGAACTAGGAGATCCTCAGGATACTTCAGACCTTGTGATTCTGTGATCYTGTGCAAAAACATTGTGATTGAAGCATTTAGAACTCAATACATTTGTTTGAATCTGTCAACTGGCTTTTATAGCTGAACACCCATAATTTAGTAAAGAAAAGGATGTGACAACTGAAGTTTATAGTGTCATCTGCAGCATCATTCTTTCAAACCACAGAAGATTAGTTCACTTTTGTAATAAAATTGGTTTCATTTATCTTGAATGCCTAGTGCATTAGTATAAGAGCTTATTTCTGTGATCTTTGATCAGCCACTTGTATAACTTTGTGCCACTTCAATAGGGCATTCATACTGCATTCATTCATGCATCTGCTCTGCATGAGTTAGAATTCTAGGCATTCTGTGGATTCAGTTGAGAGCATTTACTATTTCTTGCTTCAGTTAAAAGTATCTTAAATTTGATATTTAAATTTGATGTCTAAAGTAGACATGAATAGACTTACCTTCATGAGATCAGATTCAGTCTCTTTCCRTGCACTGCTGTCTACTAAGATGTTGACAGAACTTCCCTATCTCAGAGGAGASTGTGTGGTGTACATATGTATGTGTATAGATATCTATGGATACTGTTTTGTGAATATTGTATTTCCAGTAAATTTTATAATACTATTTTTAGCAAGTATATAGATTTGCATCTTCATTTGCACTATCAAACTCCCTATGAATGACAAATGTTACGTTAATCATTTTTTAAGCAAGTCGTGCCTTGTAACCTCCAGGTGTCACTTTGAATACTCACTCACTCACACTTTTGACATATACCATAAACTAAGCATTGCTGGACTTGATTTTAGAAATCCTGCAGCTTCATAGAGCACTATTCTTAAGTCAGTACCTTATTTTCTTCTAGATGAGTTACGAAAAGAAAATATTAACATATAACTATAATCTATTCTATAAATATAACAGGTAGCAGCAGTATTTTCCAAATGACATATAGAAGAAATCTGTACACAAATTTTCAACAATTCATAATTTTTTTTATACTTGTCTTTGAATTTTCTGGTTTCGTTGCTAAAAATAATGTATCACATAGTTTAAAGATATGCAAATTAGTGCACTTTTATGTCCATGACACTACTTCWTTTTTTTTTGTTGTTCCTACCAAAATAAAAAAATCCAGTAGTTAGAAATGGATAACAATACCCCATTCTAACACCAAATGTGCATGATTTCAGAGGTACATGGAGGGTGCCTAACTTGCAGTAGCAAGTAGTGAGTGAGGGATGCACTGGCATTTGCAAATTAAAATTTTTATATAAAAGATGAATAAAAAGTGAATAAATGCAGTTAAAAATTAACATGTGTAGATGCTATTACGAAAAAGGGCCTTATACTGAAAAATGCTTTAAAGAAAAGTTTAAGTACATTTTCCAGATTTTCTATGTCATAAAGGAGCTTAAAGGAAGCATTGCTTAGATTTTTTTTTTATAGAAAATTATAGGAATACAAGAAATTAAAATTAGGGAAGTCAATTCTTTGTTATTTATACATTCTTAGTAAATGAAACCAAAATGCAAGAAATTCAGGGGAAAAAAAAAGTCACTTTTGTTTCAGGGTTTCTTATAGTTCTCCAAAAAGATCTATTGCATATGTCCTCAGTAAGCTACACTAGGTTCAGTAGTCAAAAACATATACCCTAGCAAGTAAATGATCAGGGCATATGGATACTGCTATGGAGAAAGTATTTATTGTATGTACTGCTCCTGATACTGTCCATTATTATCTTTTTTTTTTTTTTTCCTTTTTCCTTTCCCTTGCATTGTAAAGTTAAAACCCAAACTTGTCAAAGATTGTAAAGATCACTTGAACCCTGAAAAATACTGGGCAGTTTCAGAAAACTGACATATCTTCCTTTATGGATATGTTTCTTCTTACTGCAGATCTAATGCATTTGAAGTGCTGGCACTCGATGGAGTTAGTACTGGGATACTTCAGTTATATACAGCCCAGGAGAGTGCTGACTGGCTGAGAGCAATATCAACTAACATCAGTGATTTGACACTTCAAAATGTATGTTACTTTCTGCATATTTTTTGTCTATTCTATCTTAAAATTATTTCTAATTTTTCACAGGCAGAAAATACTTCACATTTAAGATAAAAGATATAAAGAAAATGTGTGTATTTTGGCAGAAAAGGAAAAAAGGAAAGAGAAGAGATAGGGTTTCTAGTAATTCAAGACTGTCTTGAAGTTTTCAAGATTTGCAGCAAAAATAAAGCAGAGAGCAGTAGAAGTTCAGGTTGTCTTTATCATTTTAAATATTCCTTTTTAAGGCAAAATATTGACCCTTTTTAGTCATTTCATGGAGCTTTGGATAGGGTCAATCTCATCACTTCTACATTCTCTAAATTAGCGGGTTTAAAACATGGTTTTGGAACTTGACATTTGTTGATTTTGAAGTAGGCGTGTGGAAATTTTGTAACTAGTGAAGTATAACTTATGGGGCTCATTGGGAGGTAGTAATTTTACCTGTCTAATTTATCTAGGAATTGGCCTATTTAAAGTCATATTTTCCAGCTTTTTGCCTACAGGTATTAAGGTGCTTATGCCAGTGTAAATTATTCCTGTAAATTTAAAAGTAGCAGTTGTTATTGAAAACAGAGGTACTAAGTAAACTCTTGAGAAACAGAAAAATCATTATGCAGACAACAGGTTATTATTCCGAGAAAGAACACACGGAAGAGTATTGAAGATTCTGCAATGAAGCAGAAAGTCAACTTATCAAATAGGCAACTTGATAATGTGCACTATTGAAAATAGGTWGCAGTCTTTATGAGCTGGTAGAAATCAATGGTGAAAAACATACAAGCAGTATTTGCCCTGAGAGAATTAGCTGCAAAGATTTTTAATCTTTTTCTTTAAAAATATTAAGACTGTAATATCTTCTATAAACTAGGATMTGGTAGGATAAATATATTTATTTTTAGGTATTTAGATATCTAAATTAAATTTAGATTTAATAATCTACAAACTAATTGATGCTTAGTTAGTCTTCATAAGTTACCTGTGATCATATATTTCTTCACAGTAGTTTTTATATTCAATTAATTCTTTTTAATATGAAATTATTTAAAGAGGTCTTTGCCAAATATCTGTATAGTTGTTCATGATGTATTCTTTGTAAATTTTCCCTACGAGGTATTGTTTAGGGAAGTTATCTTACTTGGAGTTTGGTGTTTCTATTTGATAATTCTGGGAAAATAATATACATTATTCAAGAATGTTCATAATTGCCTGCTGCATGAATAGTGAAATAGTGAAATGTTAATGTAATGTTAATAGTTAAATGTAATATCTTTAGAGCAATTCCACTTCCTAGTTCCTGATTATAACTCTTTTGCTTTCCAAAAAATGCACACTTTAAAGCCACTCCAGATATGTAGCTGAATACGATGATAGAGAGTTACTATAAATTCAAGCTAAGTATTTAAGTATTAATAGTGGTAGGATCCTGGTYGGTTTTTCTGGAAGGCAATATGTGTGGCAGTATGTGTGGCAGTATGTGTCTTGATGTAATAACCTCCCTGTGTTGTGAACTTTCTGCAAAAATATTTTGTTGTCTACTGAATACTTCTACTGATCTTCATTTTTCAGTTATCAACCACGATTTAGAGTCCTGAAAACAAAATACTGCATCTTGTGTCTTKCTCTTTGGAATGGGGAGATGAAATGGGAGCAGTAAACTGCTTAGTTTGCAGCAGTGATAAATACTGTTCTAGGCCAGGTAGATAGTACTCTCTTTAGAGATCTTAGTGAGTGTGAGTAAAATTTTCTCTTGGGTTTGGTGTTTAGCAGGCTGTGACAGATGTGCAAGCTTTGGAGCAATGGAGCAGGTCTGGCCATAACACTAGTTAAGCTAATTACCAATCATCAGAACAACAGATGTAAGATGTAAGTCAGTTAGAAACCATTTTCTAGGAAACTCTTTTTTAAGATCAAGAATGTGAGGCTGGAATTTCAGTAGAAATTTGTTGGGGGCCAAGAGACTATTTCATACCCATACCCTGGGACAAGGCCTTTACCTTCAGATTCTTGAAAATCCATTCAGAATGCTTTTTATTACACTATTATCATCTCACAAATGTTAAGTATTTTTCTTTGATCATCTTATTGAAGTTAGGCTATGTATCTGTAATTCCACAGACTTTTTTCTCTATTTGCCCTTCCTTAGTCCTGTAAAATTTCAACCATTCTCCTGGAGTCCCTGTAGATAATCAGGATTCAGAGGTTAGGGTTAAGGTTAGGATTCAGGCTCAGATAATTTCTGAACTTCTCAAGGTTTAATTTCGTTAGTTCATACATACACTCTGTCCTATTCTGTAGATAAATGAATACTGTTAGATGATCACAGAGGACCTTTTACTAAAACTACTAGAATCAAGAATTTCAGCCTTTTAACCTGACCGTAATTAAATATTTATGTCATACTTTCCATTGTTCACTTTTATTTCTCTATACTTATGTTTATGCTTCTTGATTTTAGCAACTCGCTCTTCACCACAGTCATTCTTACTTTACCTGTGCCTGTCCACGTCACTACTATATACATTCTTCCTCATACATGTTTCCATACCATCTGGATACTTCCTTTKTGGCTTTCAGTTCTTAAAGAGCTCCTGGTGGAGGTGAATTATTCTTTTACAGTGCACCCTATCTTTCTTAYAGCAAAATCTTTTGCCATTTTCTTCTTTCAGCAGTTGGCAGTTCTCTGCCAGATCCCCTGCTGAAGCCAGAAGACAATCTTAATGTGGGTAGTACAAAAATAGCCCCACCACAATCTGACACTTCTGCTAATGTCAGACTTCTCTTTTGAAGTACTGAAACATCTAACTTCTATGCAGAGGCAAGCTCTCAGGGGATCAAGTGAAAGGGAGGAGTTGTCTTTCAGTAGTAAAGATGTGAGGAGCTGTCACTGCCTAAGGATGCTGTCCCTGACTGTTAGCATAGCTAGGAAGTGTTACTCTGTAGATGAGAAGTAATGATTCTGGTATTAGCCTGAGGACAGTTAGTTCTTATAAGACAGGGGATATGGAGACATGGAGAAAGATGTAAGAGTTTATTCTCAGCTTGCCTTCCTGATATTTGTGTTGTATGCTGAGATAGGAAAACCTCCCAGTAACTGTTACCCTCACAAGCTTTACAGRTTTTTTTTTTCTAAAGATCTGTGTCCTCTATTATTCACCATTCTGCCTATAGTTGTGTTTTTCGCATGCTTTCCTGCCAAGAGAAACTTCCCTATCCACTTCCTTTATGATTCAATTCTCAGTCTCCTCAGTGTGCTCCCAGACCCTCACATTTACCTTTTGGAGGAGAAAGAAAACAGGGAGAGATAAGTAAGCACTTCCCATCTATTTCTTCTTACAGCCTTTTTCTCGCAGAGTTAAAGACACTGAGGGAAGAACAGGAACAGAAACTGGCAGTGAAGCTGCCGTAATGAATCAAAGAGGCAGCAACTTGATCCACAAATGCTTCTCCCTGCTACTGTTTGATTTGTTTAGTTAGAGGGTTCTTTGCAGGGAAAGTGACAGAGCTGTGCAGGAGATGTTTTTAGGAGACAGTTCTTTGGAATAATTTAGAATTCCCCCTCTGTTGTGCCACTGTTCAGATAGGTATCTATTAAACATTTTTAGCTTTTGTCATGGGCTTTAATTWTTTTCTTTCACAGATAGCATCATTAGACATGATAGGTAGAAAAATCTAAAGTAGATGTTGCCAGTTCATTTGCATCATAGAAACTTACTTCTTATATTTTTAGCTCTCAACATTTTCTGKTTTTTACGATATGTTCTGAAGGTGCTGTGTTTTTCACATTTAATAACAAATTTAATAAATGAGCAGTTCATAAACAGGTAAAGAATAAAAAGATGCAGTTGTACCAATTTAACYATTATTTATGATCTTTTGAAATCATTCTCACAGTTCACTGGAGGATCACAGAAATGTAAAATTTGGCTTGGAAGCAAGAATATTCATGCTAAATCATATATATGCTTTTGAGAAATGATGTCATTTCCATGTGTTCTATGACTTAAACATTTTATTCTATGTTTACATGTACATGTATATCTAAAACAGTGGAATGAAATTTCAATTTGAATAGGGAAAGGCTTATGAAATAGGAGCTTTGAACATTCATATARAAAAGTAAGAGGAGTAGGTCTTTCTCTCTGAGCCAATATGTGAGGTACATATAGATCAAAACAAAATCCATTGTGTGTCCATAGCCTGTAGGAAGCAATATACAATCTGTGTTTATACAAACCATTCTATTGCTGTCTAGGGGGTAGTACCACAACATCATATATTTTTCTCCTGCTTCTTTTTGTTTTTAAACTCAGGCATTCCCATTTGAAAGTACCTCAAATCAAACTTTGATTTGAAACAAAATTTCTTCCTTCATTTGTCAAAGTTAAATAAGGTAAATCCCATCCTGGGAGGCACTTAGGTTTAAATATATCGCCCTGAGTCATGAAAACCCCATTCCCTTCTTGCCTCCTGAAGATACCTATGCATTAATCTAAAACACAATACAGTAACAAGATTATTTAACAGCTTGAGCTGTCTGACACTGTACTCTGCAGATCCAGATTTTTGATTTTAGCTCTCTTGCTGTTCCAAACACCCATCACTGCACTGCAGTGCTGAAAACTCATGTATTCCCAACAAGGTGCAACAAATTCCATTTGTATTCCTGCCACAAAGCTCCAGTTGTGGGGGATCATAGGGAACATAGGCATTGTTCAAAATGGAGAGTACATACTTCCCTCTCCTCAATCCAGTGGCCACAAAGGGGCCACAAAGTGTTGTAGAAGGATATCTTTCATTCCCCCACTTACATCAGGGCTGCAGCCATCCCTGCTTTGAACAGAGGACAAGCTGTGCAGCTACAGCAGTGAATAGCTGTGGAATCCAAAGCAGAAAGCACTATTGCGCTTACCGACKGGAAGCAGTGCTGTCAATGAGGATGCTCTTCACATTGCTCTTCTTTCATTCTCTGGAGAATCTGCATGGCCGGTCTCACACATTCTCACAGGCACATCTACATATTGTAAGATAAAAAGTTGGATAACAGATTTCTTTTTTTTTTTTTTTTTTTTTAAAGAGAACTTGATTTAACTGGAAAACAGGGTGAAAGGAGGTGGGATCACTGCTTATTCTGTGTATTTGAACTGTGTTATATTTTAATGATCTTATAATTGGGTGTGTCCAAACACTTGCAAGGAAATTGTGTTTCTGTGGGCATGACTAGGTTTCTGAGTACTTGCTTCTTTTTTTATATTTTACTTTGAAGCATTGGAGAATGGCTGGAGCTGAAGATAGGCAGGGCATAATGGTATTCCTGGTGATGCTCAAGTATTTCAGATGCCTTTTTGTTCTGTCTCTCCAAATGCACAAGACTCATGCCCTAAATCAGACTGGTGAGGACTGCTTCCCTCTGTAACATTGGTCTTGTCACCAATTTGTAGCATGCAAGGTTTACAGACCTTTACAGAAAAGGTTAACTGTGTTCCCACCGACTTATTACTGTCAAGGCCCTGAGAGTGCCAACAATTTCTGCCACCTCCTGCCCATTCCCAGGGATTTGACCACTGATTCCAGGCCAGTGCTGGCATTGTCCAGCTAGAGAAGAACTGTGGGAGAGACCCAAGAGACCTGCTGGGTGCTCCCTCCCCTTTGTTTGGATGCCACATGGCAGGAACATTCGTCCTTGGTCTTTGCTTGAGCTRCAGTGCAGGTGTCTGTGCCTGTGCCTGAGCTACAGTGCAGGCCTGTGACACCTCTGTAGTGGTGACTCCCCTCCTCTGGAGTGGCGTGGCCCCTACATGGGGCTAGAGGACCCTCCCTGTGCATAATCTGCTTCACCAGAGTGAAAGACAGGCTTGGCAGCTGCACCAGCTTCCAGCAGGGCAGCTTTGGCACCCAGGACATCATTTGGGTGTCCTGCACCATTCAAATACACAATTCAGTTCAAGTGGATTGCAAAACTGAGTGACAGGAACAAACCCTTACGACCCACKAAGAATTAGGGATGATTGACAACTTCTTATAGCCATGGTGCCTTTGTATCATCCTCCATGTGTACATTCGAGACCCTTGCTATCATCTGCTGTTCCTTTATATTGCATATTATCCCAGGGTCATTTTCTTTTAGGGTGGTTCTATTTAGAATAAGTACTTGTTATTGTTATAAAATAATTCTAAATATATGCATATGCATATATGTGGTATTGTACTCCACAACTGCATTTTCCTGAATAAATAAGAAATAAATAAGTCTCATACTTTTCAGATGACAGCCACTTTTTGTGGCCAAACAGGTTGCAAAATCCCACACAGGTCCAGACAAAGCCCAGCAAGATCTAAGACTGGTGTGGTTAGCATAATACCAGACCTGTTGGCATCTTATAGTCATGCTTTGCCTTTGAAGTTTACCCACAGATTTCATCTTGCCAATCTCCTGTTCTTGCTGAGATATTGGTTATAGTCTTGATTTCTTCTACCCTTTTCCAGTGATTTTATCTCTTCATCTTTTCCTAATGTAATTTTAGCTCTTTTCTTTTTATCTTTAGTTCACTGTTACTGATATTTCATTTTAAAAAGTGTTTCACTTTAAAGAAGGCTTTCTTGGGATATGTTCAGCAGTCATCTATGCTAATTATGGCTGTCAAAGAAAAGCCAAAATTAGCACACCTCTTCATTGACTAAACAGTGAGCAAAAAGGAAGATTTATAAATTTATACTAAAGGAAATCGTAAACAAAATTTCCTTCATGAGCCTTATATGCCCTTTCACATCACAAAGGACTTGAGCATATGCTTAATTTACAGATCCACTTACATAGTTGTTAACTGAGATCTAAATGAGATGATACCTGCAGTTCAGTGTAATATTTTCACAGCAGCAAAGTAAAATTCATAAAGCCAATTCTTTATGAAGGATTTCCTGAAAACTCTGATGAAAGATTTTCTTTCTTTTGAGTCTTTTGTTTTCCAGGATTATTTTAATTATATTGTATTTCACAGAATCACAGAATATTTAAGGTTGGAAGAGACCTCTAGAGATCATCTAGTCCAACCTTCCTGCTCAAGCAGGCACACCTACAGCATGTGATACAGGGTGGCATCCAGGCGGGTTTTGAAGACCTCCAGAGAAGGAGACTCCACAACCCCCCTGGGCAGCCTGTTCCACTGCTCTGTCACCCTAACAGTAAAGAAGTTCCTCCTCACTTGGAGATGGAACTTCCTGTTCTCCAGTATTTCTCCACTGAAAATATATAATTTCTTATAAGTATTATTTTTAAGTAGTAATACTAGCATACATTAACCATGTCAGTACTAACTGCTTCATAGTAACTCTTCATATGAGAATATTAATATTGAATATTCTTCTATCTCTTTTCTGTAGATGAAAATGGCAAATAAATGCTGTTCTCCTTCAGATCAGGTAAGACATTAATTTTATTATCCAAATTTAATTTTATAATTGAACATTGCCAGAACAAAACTATTATTTTTTCTAATTTTTGTCATTGTTTTCAGTTGCAGAATTTGTAGAGCTTATGTACAGATACTTAGTTTTTATATTTTGAAACCACATTTGAAAAATCAGTTTTAAATTCTGAAGTGTCATAGTTAATACAGCAGATCCTCACTAATCCATCATAATGAACAGAATCCTTCAGAATATAAAAGGAAGAACATATGAAACTAGAATATAAATTTCTGGGATGGCAAATTTAAGGCAAGCCTAATGACACCTACATAATATGTTCACAAACTTGAATTGCTCTGAGTAATAAAACCAATTTACAAGAAAGAGAAAAATATAAACTTGAGAGACTAGAGGTAATTTGAGGRGCTTCTTTAAGTAAATTTTGTTTTTATGATTGCCTTCAGAATCCAAACTAATCTTTCAAAACAAGATCAGATCAGATTGTGTCAGTTTCCAGTCGGATTCTGGTTTTCATAGTACTAGAATTTGGCATCAACAAATACAAAATCAGTTTGCTAGTAAGGTTTCTTGATTTCCTTTCATAKTCAAATTAATAATATTAAATTAATGATAACATTAAATTAAACTACCAGTTTGTCAAGCTAATCAGAATGGTCTGCCTACATTCATAGGCATGCGTCTTCTCTCTCCAAAGGAGATATTTAAACTATGACTTATTGGAACTATTGGAAATTCATTTTTGCCAAGGCTTAACCTCACAATCTCTTCTTCAGAGTTTATTTAGTTATCTCAAACCGTGTCATGCTAGTTAGTCTTTGTTAAGGACAAAGACTTTGACAGGTGTATGCAAGTAAGTACCATTGCTGAAGCCCTGGCATTATATGTAGCCTGTGTAGACCTCAGACATGACTGGAAGCATGAGGTACTTGATCATTGGCTACTTTTAGAACAGACTGGTGCTCTGCAAGGAAACAGGGAGATCGAGCTAGATTGAATGTTATTTTGTTGAGTAAGAAGGATATTTGCAGCTGCCATTGTCTAAGAATTGTATACTTTGATTCTACTTTATATAATTTCTTACAGTTCTCTAGAGATTTGAAAGCACTTAATTTTGTTATCAGTAAGCAGTTAGATTTGTGAGTGGGTTTTCAAAAGATACACACCACTGGATTGCTGCTTATTTTTCAGAAAACTATAAATTAGGTACTGAGTACTCTCTGTATTGAAGAAGAGTTGATTTTTTAAAGACCATTTGAGTGTTTCCCATACTCTATTAAAGCAATATCTTTTCTTCTCAGTACTAAAAAAAAGCTTAACACATATTCTATCTACATATTCTACAATCAATACTATKTATGATTGTACTTGATATGCTATAAAACAGTTTTTCAGGTGCTCCTACACWGTCTCTTTCCTTTTTTGTTGTTTTGATATTTTGCAGTTGGAGGAAAAGGTGAGCTCTCTCCTTGTCCTTTTTTGTATATGTATATTCCATTTACTCTTTTGTAGTGATTCAGTACAGCTGTAATAGAGAATTCCTGTATTTGTAACAGTCAGTGATCTCAAGTATGAGAGAACAGAACATTTGTATATAGYTGAGAGATAATAAGCAGATGAGTGGCAGCTATCAAGGATTTGTCAAGAATAAGTAGCGAATATCTAATCTAATTTCCTTCAGTGGTAGGATAACCCATTTTGTGGATGGGTGAGAAGCAGTTGCTGACATATCTTGACTTCAATAAAACTTTTGACACTTCTTGACATGAGGGTATTGTTAAAGAAATTTTATCCAGTTTTCCTGGTACAGCTGTTGGATAATCCAAGAATAAGTAAATGGTTTACTTTTAAAATTAAATGATACATTGATGGAGTCTGAAAAGCTCTCCTGAACCCAATTCACTTAATGTTTTCCTTACGATGCATTAACAAAAGTATCTATACTATTTTTTGTAGAGATGAACCTGTAAAAGGTGGCATTAGACCTAAGAATGATCTTGGTATATTGAAGGATGAGTCTGATAAACAGATTGGAAGCCACTTCTTGTATGGCACATCTGTAAAAATAATCAGAATGTATTTGTGAGATGCTGTGGGAACAACTTATTCTTCCAAAACAAAAGTATTTGAGGATATAAACTCTGTTGAGCAGTTCAGTCCATCCTTTTTCACCTTGCTAGCACTGGGAAGGACATCAGAGCACTATGGACCGTGGAAGCCAGCCAGACACGCGGGAGGTTGTCAGGAAGCAGCAGATTTGTTATTTTATCAGTCCAGCACAGAGCAGGGGCCATTCAGAAGTGCCAGTCACATGGTTCGCCTTACATTCCATTTTCTCCCATTTTATCCATTTCAAATAAGCAACCCACATGCTTTGTAATGTTCCCTAATCTGTCCCTGATTTTCTCTCTCTTTTTTTTTTTTTTTTTTTTTGGTTATTTCAGCTGTAGTCACTGATGCTGCACATGCTTAGTAAGCCAGCACTTCTCTTTCCTCTGATATTCTTCATTCATGGGAAATTCCTGATAATTCCCTATCATATATTTTGCCTGACAGTTTATCCCACTATTGTTTTATTAGCAGTGCCAGATGAGAGATGGACAGCCACTTTTTCCTTTGCGTTGTGTGTCAGGTCCAGCAGTTTCTCATATTGTTACCTTGTCAGTTTAACTTCAAGCCAGGGCTACATATCACAGCTACAACATCTCTTTTGTGACTTTTGATAAAGAGGCAAGCATCTGGGCTATATGTTACACATGGGTGAGTGTACCCTGGAAAATATGCAAAACATCGTATTCCACCAAATTCTGTGTGCTATGCTACAAAAATGGCCTTGACCAAAGGCTTTTCATAGCTTTTGGAAAAGTGAAAAGAAATAGAGCTTTATAATTTCGAGAAGAGAAGATAAAGAGGGAGGTATGAAGTAAGTCTTCAGAAAGGGTAACTTAATGTTGCAGAGTGTCAAAAACTAATGTTCTTCTGTGGTTATTCAGAGAATGACATTTAGAAAGATCAAGTAATGAAGTTATCAACTGACTAACATGATGCTACTAACACATAATATGTTTTATTCCTGAAATTTTTGTTCTGGTTATGGACTAAAGTAGCTTCTCTTTACTATGAGGATATTGGAATTTAATTTTTTAATGGAAAGAGCAAAAAAAAAAAAAATCTTAGTTTGTGGTTATAATACTGATGACTCATTTTAGATGTGAGGAATAGACTTCACCTCTGAAGGCTGAATAAAGTATTGGAATAGACTATTGTGAGAAATGATGAAATGTCCATTACTGGAGGTCCTTAAGAGGTTGAGAAAATATCTTTCAGAAATAAAATAGCTGTTTTTGGAAGTCGGTGATGCAATTCTTAATGAAAATCTCTTGATCTGCTTTAGAATCTTTTCTGGGACCTCAATGGTTCACTGAAAATGAGAGTGACTGTTATATACTACTACTATCACTACTATAGACACTACTTCAAATGCTTAAAGAGTTGAACCTCTAGACATTTAGTTCCTCTGTGGAGTAAATAACTATTATACTGATTTTTAAGATGAAGAAACTGTAGATAATTAGGTTATGTTTGGTGGAACAAATCAATACATTTKGATTGTCCTGTTGCATTCTGATCAAAAATGTCACTGTCCTTTCTAAAACAAACACATTTCACAGCATGTCATGGTGTTCGTATGTTCCATTTTTATCTCTTTAGAATGGAAAAAGTGTTTTTTCTTTTTTTTCTTTTCTTTCCTTTTCTTTTTTTTTTTACCATGAGAAGTTTAAATATCTATCTATACAATTTGAATCTCTATCCCCTCTCCCAGTCTCATTCAAATTAGACATAACATCCTATCATGATTCATGTCCAACTTGAAAAACCTTCTTGTTACCTCAGTGGATTATTAAAAGTTATAGATATTTTTAAAAATTCAGAGAGGTAGATGATAATATCAGCATACCGTCTAAGGCTAGTATCTTTTCACTTTTCCCTGGATTCGTAGCTTGCCAAAGGTATGTGGAAAAAAAAGATTTTGGACAATTTGGTAATTTGGACAGATACTGCAGAAGATTAGCAAGTCAGGTTGTGAATCTTCATCCTCAATGGATAATATTCAAAAAGTATATATTAATTGTGTTGTGTTGTGTTATTAGTGCTGATACTAAAAACACATGTGGATAAGTTCATGAGTAAACTGATCTATATTGGTACTGTTTCAAGCAGGAGATAGGATTAGACAAGCTCCTGATGATGAGGGGTCTCTGTAAACATAAATATGATTCCATTTGAATCTTCTTTTCTGAAAGGCTCTCAGATGTCACCAATGTCAGCAGTATCTGCTGTAATAACTTTTTTTGACATACCATTTCCAGACAAGAAGCCAAGAGATGGATATTCTTAGTACAGGAGTGCACACTGTGATAGTTTTGGTCACACTTGCTCCGGCAAAATATATCTGACGCTTGGTCATGAACACTCATCTGCCATGTACACTGCTGCATTCAGAAAAGAATGTCATTTGGGGGTGGGGGGGAGGGAATTTTTTGTTTGTTTCTTTGTTTCCCAAGGTCAACTTATTGATAATTGTTCCTAAGAGAGAGTTTCAGGTTTTAGATCCTAACTTGAAAAAGGGTATTATTCATTTACTTTTTGTAGCTGTTTACTAGCAGTACTACATACAGAATGTACTGATGACTTTATTGAATGTAACACATGTAATGTAATGTAGTGTAACACACTAAGTTTCCACTCATCTAGTTGCTCTGTTGCTGTAGGAAAACAGTAACTACAAATAAGAATACTCATTCACCTGCGATCATTGGATTACATTTTGTTAGTGACTTGTTAGTGACCCCTTAATGAGTGCCATTGCTCATTTTGTTCCTACAGGAATCTTTGTAAAGTATACTGGAACACTTTAGGAAATTAATAACATAGCAATGATGCTATGGTGATTTTCCACTCATTTTAAATAGCAATCTGAGATTGATTAGACGGTAAAAGGAAAGAAGTGCTAAAAGCAGTGCTGAAAGTGGTGTAGATTGTAGTGTTATACCAAATCAGCGCTCCTTAAAACTTCAAATGGCAGGCTTTGGTCTGATCTCCCTAGTATACTTAACCACAAACAGTTTCTTATTGATTTTTTCCTTTTTTTTTTTCAGTACAGACTGCTGTTAAACTGAATATTTATCCTTTTACCCATTCACATGGTCTAAATGACCATTAAATAAACCAGTCAATAAAAGGGAGAGACAGAGAGAAGGCAAACAAATGTTAGGGTTTTTTTTTTCCTCTTTTTTAAAATAAAAGATCATTTTATTTGCATATGTTAATTAAACACTGCTTCTGATAAAGAAAAGTCTTCTATTTTRTTTCTTAACTTTTTAAGCAATGTGTGTCTTTTTAGTGGAATATCAATTTTTATACTCTTGTCTTCATGGCTTTTTTTTTCTCTCAGATTTATTTTTCTCCTTGATTTTTCCTTCTTTACATATCTGTATAATGTCATCTGACATTTATCTTTTATGACCTTTATCTTTTCTCTCT